TTTTGGACCACAACAAGTAAGTCCACTGAGATGACTAAAGATAGAATAACCTTATCTATATAAATAAATATATAATTTTCGTTTGTGGGATTAACATAACTCAAAACCCGCTGGACGAATTGGCACCAAATTTGGCAGCAAAACACATACTAATCCAATCTATGTCTGTCAAACAAAAAAAAATCTCTGGCTGCTTCTCATTACTTTATTTTGCATACCACCACACTACCCCAGGGTGCTATTATTATTATTATTATTATTATTATTATTATTATTATTATGAGTCTAAATGGCCATCTATCAGGAGTGTTTCAATTGTGCTTTTCGCTTATGCCAGAAGGAAGTTGGATTGGATGGACCTTGGAGGTCTCCCTACTTTATGATTCTATTACTATTATTAATAATAGTATTATTATTAAGCAGAGTCTCTATGGCCATCTGTTAGGAGTGCTTGGATTGTGTTTTTCCCTTATGGCAGAAGGAGGTTGGACTGGATGGCCCTTGGAGGTCTCTTGCAACACTAGGATCCTATTACTGTGAATTCCTCCCAAACCCCTCCAGAGTTTTCTGCTGGTCATGGAGGTTCTGTGTGCCAAGTTTGGTTCAGATCTGTCATTAATGGGAGTTTTAATGGTCTGTGGAAGTCTGAGCTGAATCAGTTGAAGGTACTCCAAATCCCATCAGCTTGATTAGCATTCAATGGCCTTGCAGACAAGAGTCAATCAAGGCCAGCTAATATGTCTTAACAATGGATTCCCCCGGGCAGGAAGCAGCCAGGCTTTGAAGCTGCAAGGTTATTTGCTGCATCAGAAGCAAACCAAGGGTAAATTTGTAATGTATATAGAAAACACAAAGTTTAAAAACTTGGCATCCAGCTGCAAGGTCATTCAGTGCTAATCAAGGTGGCCAATGGCAACACTCACACTTGCCTCAAGCAGGCAAGAGTTCTTCTTCCCACTCTGGACATCATTCCACAGGGATATATATAAACCCCACTTGCCTAGTTTCCAACAGAGTTCCCAACCTCTGAAGATGCCTGCCATTTATAACACATAACAATCTAATAAATATAAATAATTCATGTTAAAAATAATAACGTAATAAATAATAATTGTAAATAGAATAATAAATATAATAAAATATAATAATAATAGTAATAATTCCAAAGCTGAGAAGGAAATGGGGGCGAGTCAGTTTCCAACAGACCTCCCAATCTCTGAGGATGCTTGCCACTGATGTGGGTGAAACGTCAGGAGAGAATGCTGCTGGAACATTTTGAGCCTTCCAGGCAAAGCAGAGGCTTCAAAGGGCAGAGAGAAGAGCATGGAGTGGGGCAACAGCAGCAGCAGGTCTTCCCCTCTTCTCCTCCAGGGTCTTCCTCCTCTCCGTTTGGAGATCCCCAAATGGAAAGGAGGAAGAAGAGCCCAGAGGAGAAGGAGATGGCCAAGCCTGGCTGCTGCTGCTGCCCCATGCTCCTCTTCTCGCGAGAAGAGGGGCGAGAAGAGAGCAGCAGCAGCAGCAGCAGCAGCGAGGTCTTCCCCCTTCTCCTCCAGGGTTTTCTTCCTCCTCCTCTCCATTTGGAGGTGCTTAAACCGAGAGGAGGAGGAGGAAGAGCCCAGAGGAGAAGGAGAAGGGGGGAAGACCTCGCTGCTGCTGCTGCTCTGTGCCACCCCCCTCTTCTCGCCCCCTTCGATGCCTCGCCTCGAAGGAGGTGAGAAGAGGAGGATGGCACAGAGCAGCAGCAGCAGCGAGGTCTTCCCCCCTTCTCCTCCAGGGTCTTCCTCCTCCTCCTCTCCATTTGGAGGTGTCTAAACGGAGAGGAGAAGGAAGAAGCGCCCAGAGGAGAAGGAGATGGCCAAGCCTCGCTGCTGCCCCACACTCCTCTCGCCGCTCTACAAGATGCACGGGGCATGAGGGGAGGGAAAGGCATGGACCTTTCTCTTCTCCCTCGCACGCCTTTCCTGCCTCTGCCGCCAGGAAAGGCACATGCGGGGCGAGAGGGGAAGAGCAGAGGCGCGCGCCTTTCCCTTCCCTCTTGCTCCATGCGCAGCTTTTCTGCCTCCTCCTGCCGTTGTCCCCGCCACCGCGCGTGGGACGAGGCCCAATTGGAGGAGCATTTAAGGAGGCGCATGAGCGCCCCTGGGAAAAACAAAGTGTTCCGCGGTCGCTTACTTCGCGTAATGGAAAAACCGGCCCTGTCTGCCAGGAATGGGAAACCTAGAGTATTTGTTTTATTGCTCTACCCCACCAACTAGCCAGACCACCAAGTTTGGAGGATTGATCCCAACATTCACTTGAGGGTCAATCCAAGCTAATTCTCCATGATTTGAGAAGCTGATGGATTTCACCCCACAGGGGACACAAGGCGGCTTACAAAATCCGGCAAGACTTTAATGCCGTAACATACACTTTCAAAAGAAATACAACCAACATAACCAAGGCTGGAATTAAACATGAACAACCTTAGATATGCAGATGATACCACTTTGAGGGCTGAAAGGGAGGAGGAGCTAAGGAGCCTTCTAACCAAGGTGAAAGAAGAAAGGGAAAAAGCTGGGTTGCAGTTAAGCATAAAAAAAACGAGATGATGGCAACCAGACTGATTGATAACTGGCAAATAGAAGGAGAAAACGTGGAGGCCGTGACAGACTTTGTATTTCTAGGTGTGAAGATGACTGTAGACACAGACTGCGGCCAGGAAATCAGAAGACGTTTCCTTCTTGGGAAGAGAGCAAGGACCAATCTCGATCAAATAGTGAAGAGTAGAGACATCACACTGGCAATGAATGGTCGCATAGTTAAAGCAATGGTATTCCCCGTGGTAACTTATGGATGCAAGAGCTGGACCATAAGGAAGGCTGAGTGAAGGAAGATAGATGCTTTTGAACTGTGGAGTTGGAGGAAAATTCTGAGAGTGCCTTACACTGCAAGAAGATCCAACCAGTCCATACTTCAGGTATTAATGCCCAGCTGCTCACTGGAGGGAAAGATATTAGAGGCAAAGATGAAGTCCTTTGGCCACATCATGAGAAGACAGGAAAGCTTGGAGAAGAGAATGATGCTGTGGAAAATGGAAGGAAAAAGGAAGAGGGGCCGACCAAGGGGAAGGTGGATGGATGGTATCCTTGAAGTGACTGGCTTGACCTTGAAGGAGCTCCCTGCTCTGGCCTGGGCCGGTCCATGAGGGCACCAAGAGTCGGAAGCAACTGAACAAATACACAACAACAAAAACCATAACACATACCCTATCAACTATAAAACAATGAAAACATATAAGCCTCTAAAAACACACAAGACAATGAAACAGATTAAAACATATAACATATTAAAAACATAAAGTGCTGAGTCGTGAGTTTATACTGAGTAATTCATCCATAGTCATGGTCAAAACTGTTGAACTCGAATTACGTATTGGCATATTTTCTGAACGCCTGCGTACAAAGCCAGGTCTTTAGTTTTACCTGAAGACCAGGAGGGATGGGGCCTGCCTGATGTCACTAGGGAGGGATTTCCACAACCGAGGGGCCATCACTGAGAAGGAAGGCCCTGTCTCATGTCCCCACCAATCACGCTTGCGAAGGGAGTGGGACCGAAAGCAGGACCTCCCCAGCAGATCTTAAACTCTAGTTGGCTCATAAAGGGAGTTAAGTTCGAACAGGAAGTTGGACCAGAACCGTTTCTAGTAAATTACTAGAAATCTTGGACATCTGCGCCCAATCCCACAGTTTATCCCTCCAACTTTTGATGCTTAATGTTTTTTTCCCCTTTCCAATCTTTGACAATCGTTATACATGCAGCAACGAAGCTGTGATGACAAATTTCTCTTTCTAGGCACATCCTTGGATTTTTTAAAACTTGGTTGTGGAACATTACATTTGTTACCTTGATCATTTTTTCCAATAAGCCTGCACCAATTCACAAGACCATCACACATGGAAGAAGGTCCCTTTCTTTATTTTATACCTCCAACAGGATCCTGATTGGAAATTATCTATTTTGATGAGGAGAGCTGTGGTTGCATAACACCTCTTCCTCTATCGCGGGCACGACTTGTGGGAACGAGGGAGAGAGCCTTCTCCGTTGTGGCCCCCCGGCTATGGAATTCGCTACCTGGTGAGATTAGGCAAGCCCACACCCTGGCAGCCTTTAAGAAAGCTCTAAAGACTTGGCTTTTTCTGATGGAGAGTGACCATATATTCCAGTCCTGTTGTTTCACCTACACTGCTTCCCTCATATTGC